GGCATGAAGGTTAAGTGGGGGGGGGGCTCAATGATCAGTTGAGGGGCGCAAATTCACAAAATATGGTGATTTTTAACTACTTGACCGTGATTTTTTTTTTTGGGGGCAGGAGGTGCCCCCGTGCCCTCTCCTAGATATGCCACTGTAAATTAGGTCTACTACTGTACAGTGGAGGAGTTGGGTGGGGGAAGTAGTTTGTGGGAGTGCAAACATATTTATGGAGCCCCTAAGTATGAAAGAATGGATTTTCAACTGGTCTTACACGGAGTCAATTATAACTAATCTTTTTCAGTGTATTAATTGAATATTTAAGGGTTTCTCTAGATTAACAACTGATGATAGTGAGTATTTTGACCCCCCCCCCTTTTTAGGAGGTAAAAAAAAGGGAAAAAAGGAAAAAGAAAAAAATGATAGCCCACAACACCTCAAATGTTATTTTCGGGCTTCTGAACACAAAAAATTGACCACCTAGGACATTGTTGTCTCGATCGGACCAAATTCCCCCCCCCCCTCTATTGGACATCTCTGGATCCGCCCTGTATAGTGAGCATTTTGTAAGTAAACAAGGCATCACTGCTATGCTAATGGGATTATCATTCTAAAACCTTGGTGTGTAATGTTGAAAAGCTGAACATATCTTACAGCATTAGCTAATGAGAGGCCTACAGTACGCTAACCACTCACTATAAGAATTTACCAGGCTGATGCCAATTACTATGTTAACACTTGTTAAGAGGCTTGAGGACTGAAGGCTGCAGACATCAAGGGCAACAACTCCAATCATACTTTTCCTCCAGCAATTTCAGTCCATTAGAATCAAATAATTATAACCATGGAGATAAAGCTTATGTAGTACGTGACATGAAATGTTGTCTTAATGATAACAAGTATTTAGTATTTTAAAGTTATGCGCCATAATTATCTGTTTGAGTTGTAGTGAAGCTGCTGCCTTGTTATCAATATGCTTGTCGCTCAAATCCAGGGTCTTGTGTTCAGATCCTATTAAATACCACTATGTGTTTATGGGACATACATGTATTCATTAATCTGTTCTGTGGACAGTTGTTAAGTTTGATTGACAATCGAAAGGTTCATTATTATGTTCATGCACTGTAATGAAAGGAATGTATTATTATTCTTGATTGTTGCATCCTTGATCATGTGCCCAAATAAATCAAATCAATCAAATCAAATCTAGCACCACATGGCTTTGGACAAGATTGTAATCAATCAACTTATCTTCAAAACTAACTGACCTTTGCCTCCTCCCATACGCTGACCCTGGCCCTTCTTGGTAATAGGTTTGTATGGTGGTTTTATTCGCCAGATTGCAAACATCCGCCGTGTGTCCATGAAACGATTGATCGTCAAACGTATCATCTCAAAGTGACCATACTTCATGTAGCCTGCAGTTTTGGCCTGAAAAATTTAATGAAAAATTGTAATTCAATTCAAAATTTATCAATTTATGTCGTAGTCAAAACAAGTGAATTATGAAATTAAAGTTTTGATACTGTAACACAAAACTGAATTAAACAGATTACAGGTATTGGTTGACTTTTGTTTCCTGAGCTCATTAGAGCAAAACCAGTGGTCCCAAGTCTGCTGCAAGTTGAGGGAGTATCCCGGAAATTAGGAAGGTCTCCCACACAACCGCAAGCAAGCAAGAATCTCCGGGAAAATAACCCATCTCACGCAAATTCATGAAATTTGCATGTTTTTATTACTTGAATATCAATTGCCTCACAGAACTCAGTGGTGATGGGTAATCACCATGCACAGCAAAATAAAATTTAATATGTTTAAAAGAAAGAACATTTAATCAGATCTCCAAGAAGGGATTTCCTCCATCTTGGGACCCTGCAAAAGCTTAATCTGCAAAGTGAGTCTCAGTTAAAAATAGGTATTTTAGATTACAGTGTTGGGGCATAGGGAAATTACTGAATTTCAAAGGGTCACATTTGTCAACTGCATATGCAGCCTTACAAGCTTGAAAATGATAGGTCGTTTAATGGAATCAACTAACTATTGCCCAAATTATGAGTTAAAGTATACAGCTTTTGTATAGAGCCTCATTCTCGTGCTAATAACTCAGTCAGACTATGTAGTCTTGTATATATTGTGTCAGTAAATTTACTCCTTTTGGGATGGCTTCCATAAAAACATTAGCTATTGTTAATGTTAAGCAAAACAATCTTATCATCTCCGTGGTTTTTATTTCATGGCAATTACTCATTTTTCTACAATATAAAAGTTGAACCAATTTTTACTTAATTTTTGCCATATCTACTGTAGGTAGTTATTTGTGTTATTATACCAGTACATTCACAAGAAAAGGATTTAATATTAATGAGTTCATAGAAACTGGCTATCATCATATTATTCTCCTAAAGACAATTGAAGCAACTCAATCGAAACGTTGAGATATTCTCAACCAACAACAACAGTTCTTTTCAGAACTATCTATGTGGTGTAGCACAAGCATTAATAATATTTAATATTATTACTTTGCCATGCAAACCTTCAAAAAATATTTCTTTATAATTGTTTAAAATCAAAGATGTGAGGAATAAATAATGCATTAGGTGAAAATTTAATTCCAGAACCACATTTAAGCACTATATCCATTAGCTCTGGAAACAATATTTAAGCTCAATTAAAGAGATAGTAGACTGTGATGAGCATAAATACACCATTAAGGTATCAAGGACTACATTACTAAAATCAATACAAGATATAAACACATCAGCATCATCAACATCCATTACTGTCATGTTGACATCATCAGCAGCCATATTAAACTACAGTGATGTCATTGTGTACACGATAAATTTATCAATCAGTATTTTCATTACTATCTTAAAGGTAGGCCTATATACTGCTTATGTTGATCCAATATACTTTAACAACATTCACTTGACTTAATAATTTGTATATTATTATGTAAGAGATTAGCTTTCAACTACTGTGAATTGTTTCTAACAAATTTAATTGTAAATAATATTTATATTTAAAAATTCAATCCAGGATACTGCTATATTCTTATCTTCATTGTAAATAAATTTGTACATAAATTATATAATTGGCAGGGGTTTATTTAAGAGCCGGCGGCCGGCGCATTCGATCGGCTACTACGATGTTTTCGCCGGCTACTTCAATCAATGCTGTACAAAATTAATACAAAAACCACCAATATAAATAGCGC